GGCAAGTGCAAGGTCCAGAGTTCAAACCCTGATACAGAAAAAACAGATAAATAGATAAATAAATAAATTTTAAAGAATAGTGGTTTATTTGGCTCACAGTTCGGGAGGCTGAGGAGCCTAAGAGGTGGCACCAGCATCTGTTCGGTGAAGCACAGGGCCTCACAGAGAGAGGTAGAACACAAGCCTGAGACAGTCCAGAAACAAAGCCAGTCCAGAAATAGCCCATTAATCCATAAATGAGGGCAGAATCTTCATGATCCAAGTACAGTCTCACCTCTGAACACAGGGACCAGGGAGGGACCAGGTTTTCAGCACATGAACTTTTGAGTGATGCATTTAATTCACAACAGACAAAATAAGTATTCAAATAAAGCCCTGCTCCTACCCTAAGCCCTTCATTTTGTTAGTAGTACTGGTGGGGAGAACAGAGGTCCCAGTTATTTGTGCTATAACAGGGCAGACAGAGGCTTCCAGTGGTGCCCCCGAGCCCAGACGTATTGGCCTCAAAGTAGCTCTCATTTCTGGCTTGCTCCACTTCTGTTCCCAGGCCCTCTTTCCTCATTACCATTTCCTTCATTATAACAAGATCTCTATGACTTCTCAAAATAAGCTTTAGGTGTATTTACATTTTAAATGTTATTAAAAGAATGGATGAAGCCAGAACTAATTATGAACTGCAGAGATACTCTTTTTAATAATAATATTTTCACTAGGAACATTGAGATTCTAAGTGAACCATAATAGAAACATGTTATTAATAGTTTGGTTGTCTTGCAATTAATAATAACCTGTAACTCTAATAGCCATGCTCTGTTTAGTGTATTTATTGCCACCTTCTAACCTGTATGATTTATAGTCAGTGCAGGCAAAGAGTTCCCTTTTTTTTTTCTTTTTTTTTTTGGTACCGGGGATTGAACTCAGGTCCTTGTGCTTGTGCAGCAGGTGGCAAAACCACTGAGCTAAATCCCCGGCCCAAGAGTTCCCTTTTTTGATCAATGTTAGCTAGATTCTTAGATCCTAGAGAAAGAACTATGACTCTAAATAACAAAATGAAAATATATGATTAAATCACTTCAAGATGGAGTTTAAAATTAAAATTCAGGAGAAAATAGATCAATTCGTAAAATTAAGTCTAATCTCAAATTCTGTCCTGTGATTTAAACCCTAAAGGTGCTTAGAATGTTTTGGTAAAGTAGTTTAATTCTGCTATGGGTGTTTTCTTTATGAAATGGTTCTATTTAGGTAGGAATGAAAATCTTCAATATGCCTTTGAAAGAGGTGAGACATTATTTATATTGGTCTGGGGTGCGGTGATTGTTCTAGTTCTATAAAGGCTTTCTGGTCATTGTTCAATAGCCAGCCTGGTCAGGGAATGGCTATTCGATCAGAATAAATATTCCCTAAGTAAGATCAGTGCTGTCCATGATTGTTTCATTTTGTGGCTATAATTACTGAAACTCCCAGACTGCTATCTAGAATCTGGCCCAAAAGGCAGACAGGGCCCTCTTCGGGGCAGCTCAGGCCAGCTGAGGGTCTTTCCTCAGATAACTGTTCTCAGATCAAATTCTGTGGCCACATTTATACTGTGGCAGGCCCTTGCTGAGAGGCCTGAGGAAGCCAATGGATTCCAGCACCCCACACCCACCAGGCTTCACACTGGTTCCCACACCAGGGCCAGGCTCACAGAGAAAGCAGGCCTGAGCCAGAATGGCGGCGGGAAGGCCAATCCAGGCAAAGGCAAACTGTGCGTATCTCTGGAGCAGCAAAGGAGCGCGAGCTCTGCTTTTCCGGGATCACTGGGACTTTTATTTCGTCGGAACATTTCCACCACTCCCCTCACTAGAGGCTCTATCTTGAACTCCAGGACCGAAGCAAAATGCCTAATGAGGCAAGGGAGGGGAAGGGGCTTACAAATGACTTGGGAAGAAGGGCTGGGGAGAAAAAAAGAAGGGTCAGGTTACCGGCTGTCACAAAATCTTGTGAAAACAGGAGCTGGAGACGCCAAATTCCGGCACCCACGGAAACCCCTTGCAGCAACTTGTGACCCCCTCAGAGTTGAGTGTGAGTCGCAGAAGAGCGCAGGGCGCTCACTTTCGGAGTTTTCATCCTCACTCAAGCTGCTAGGCGAGGGTGAGCTGAGAAGGTCTTGAGTGTGCACAGTCAGGCTCTCGGTCGACGGGGACCTGGCCAGTCCTTTCTTGACTTCCTGCAGTAGGGTTCCTCTGGCCCACACGTCCAGGCCCGCTGAGGTTCCTGCACTCTCGCTGGGCGGCGGAGCCGGGTCACCAGGCCGCCGAGCCTCGAGCTGGAGCAGACTCTGGGGTGGGGCCGAAGTTCCCTGCAGGTGGGTGCGGGTGAGGCTGTGACCCGCTAACGTCCAGCCGCCCAAGCTAGCCGTGCACGCTGGCCAAGGGCCGAGCCAGTGCTTTATTCCCTGCCGGAGAGTCGCCTCCTTTGCCCTCCTCCCGGGCAGGACGACCCTGGGCGGCTAAGTTGCAGGTCGTCCCTGCCGGCTCAGAGTTTTCCAACTCGCCCATTTGCCCCCCTCAAGTGAGCTACTGGCCCTCCTCCAGAAGCCTTCCCGGCTCCAGCTCCTAAAATAAATGCACCATGCCAGAAAAGAGGGGAAGAGGGATCATGTGACCCAAAAGAACGAAAATTCTAGAACGACCCCATTCTCCAGGAAAAGGTAATGAGGGGAAGCGAAACAGTGTGAACTTACTCGGAAATGCAAACCGAGCTCAACTCCGCCGGGCGCAAACAAGCGACCGAAAGACAAGTCAGCCAACGCGCTCGGCGGCTTCCCAGAAAGGGCCTCATGAATGAGAATGGGTTGCTAGGTTTCCTCCCTTCCTCCTGACAATCGCTTCCCACAAGATTTCCACCGCCGAAAGAAAACAGGCAGGGCCTAGTGACAGCAGAGGGGGGAACGCTGCCAGCACCGCCCACGAGGGCGCCTGGGGCAGCTCCCGCCTTCAGGACCCTGGAGAGCGTCCGTCGCGCCCCCGGGACCCGCGCCCAGCGGTGCGTGGCGCGCTCCCCTCCCGTGCTTCCCCAGGCTGTCACTTTTATCCGCTGCTTCCCGCCTCCACCTTCGTTTTTCTTGGCAACCACCACTCTTGTTTTTCACACAGATTAAACTGTTTTTTTGTTTTGCTTGAGGGGAGGTTTGGGATTGGCCGAGTTAGTTTTAACTACACTAAACTTGCGCCCCAAGAGGCACTGAAAGTGAAGACTCAAAGAAAAGGCCAAGTGGCTTTCACAAGCCACTGAGTTCAGCTCCTTTATCAATGAAGATGAACTCAGACTAAGAACCATTCACAAGGTTAGCTGTGAAGTTAGTAGCAATGCTCAGTCTAGAAGCTTGGGTTCCGGACTTATACTGATTCCTAAGATACTTTTTATTCACTCTCCATGACAAAAAAAATCTACCTTCACCCTCATCACTTAGGTCTCTTATGCAACAGGTGGAAGGGCAAAAAGGCTGCGTTCCTGAAAATAAGACAGACACACGGAATTCAGAAAGGATCCGTAGTGATCGTCCCAACCTGAGTGCTGGTCTCCGCTGCACTCAGCTAACCCTAAGCCGAATTCATTAGTCAGTCCCTTTCTGCACCCAGCGGGAGCCAGGTCTGGGATCCCTCGGGCACCGGCGGCGGCTACTATCCAAGCCTCCCTTGAACAACTATCCCAGTGAAACCTGGTAGCCAAGTCCAGCTCTGCGCAAAAAAGACAGCTAGAATGAGGACGGATCAGAGGAGGAAGGGCAAGATGGAGGGGTGAAAAAGTGAAGGAAGATTTTTCACCCAAAGTCTAAAAGAACCAAGAGTTGTGAGCACAGACTTTTGTACACACGTGTCGCATCCAACGTGCAGACAAATTCCCTGAGAAAGTTAACGTGCGGATTCTGGTACTGGAGGTTGGAACAGGGCCAGTGACTCTGCATTTCTAAGGAGCTCCTAGATACTGGAAACGCAGCTGGTCCCCTGGCCACGCTGGAGCGGCACCGAGTTAGAAAGGGGGGAAGAAAGAAGGGGGGGAACCCAACACGAGGCCTTTTCTCCCGCTCTCACTGACCTCCTCTTGCACCCCTAAGTAACTCTCGCAATGCGGTGGTAAGGGCCTCATCTAAGCGGCTGGAGCCGACAGTAGCGGTAACGGTGCGCTGGTTTGTTTCTCTTTCCCCCACCCTGCCCTTCCCACGCCCGCCCTGCACGGTTCCCAGGCTCGCCCGCTGCCCGAAGCTGCTCGGCCTCCTTCCTAGCCCGATCCCCAGCCTCACGCGGTTCTTCGCTCGCTCACCTTCTCCGGCGCCCGCCTCCTGAACCTCCCCAGCGGCGCCCGGACTTCTCCCCTCTGCTTCCTGCCCCGTGGGCCGCCCGGCTCTCGCGGGGGCACGAGGAGCTGCCCGGCCGCCTCTCGCTCCTGCTCGGGACAGCGCCGGCCCTGCCCGGCCGACCCCCGGGGGTCTCACGCCGAGGCTGGCTGATCGGGTCGCCCAGCCCGGAGAAGAGGAGGCCAGCGCCGGCAGGGTTTGCCTGTGCCGGTAAGTACTGAGCTCCTCCCGGCCCCCCGCGCAGCCAGCCTCTCCCACTCGTTCCTGGCCGCTACAGACCCGCTCCACCTGGGGCGGGCAGTGGGAGGACGGAAGGTCGGGGCGCAACGCTCCCCCCCCAACCGGTGAAATCACCCTAAGCTACTTTTTCCTGGGCCATTCGGTCCCTGCCCGCGGTCTTTGGA